ATAAAAATCTCATGTACAAAGTGCGGTGAATGTGTACAACTAAAACAAAATAACCCTTTCGTAAAAGACTAGTCCTGAATGAAAAAAAGAATTTGAAAAGGGAAAAACAGTACTGAAGAAACCATTTACATGTAGTCATTACCTAGTCAAATACTGGTGCATACAGTTACCAATAAACTCTATTCGTTATTTGATACTGGTTAGAATATAAATGGACCTCCATGTACACTAATAATCCAAAAACGGAACTCCCTTTTTGTAATTTTCTATATTTTCAAATATATCTGCTGCTAGATTCTTTGCTCCATGCTTTGCCAGTATTAAATGAAGTTCCCCGTCACCATCCACATCAAAAATCTCCTTGACAACGGTGCCTCCTTACGACAAGATGGCTGCCAGCGTATCCATGGATGAGTGTAACATTTTGAAGTTCATCCATTACTTGCGGACGTGTATAACCACAGATTGATCAGCGTGAAGCACGTGTCCAGGCCGGGCTTCGTCGGCAAAGTCTGACAGTGCCCAACGATACAAATCCTCAAGGAATGTCTCCTGATCCTCTGACGGTATGAGACTCAAATACCCAAGTAGAGTCTTGGCAGCCACTGGAAAAATAATAATACTACTAACTGACAAACTCTTCACAATACTCTGTACTTGTTGGGAAATGTTCAAATGTGAATATCATCTTGCTTGAAATAGCTGCACTTTGATCTTTTCAAGTAAAAGCATATTGATAATGAGAACCTTACAATGCATGGTTTGTACGACCACAAATAAGCATGTATGCATGTACTTGGTACTCGCTCCCTAGCATGTAAATTAAATGTGGCAAACCTACATTTGAATTGCAGCTCTGACATGGATATATCCTGACGTGCGATTTCACAATGCACGCTGGTACAACCATATGTCTTCAACAGTTCAACGGTGTCTGGGATGGGTCGTGACCACAAATTTACCGGCGACACATAATCCTACAAACAAATCAACAGTTCTGTAAAAAATTCTCACTAATATGCAATCAGTGATCGAAATCAGCATCAAACGTTTACGTTGCATTTGTCATCAACTTGACGTCAATTTACATGTCCTAAAATAGTCTTTAAACAACCCACATTACATAAAAAGGAAGCAAAAATTGAAAATAGCCTGAATACCTATACCTGCAGTTTTTGGGAAAGAGTGGCGGTGACAGATTTTTCAAAGGCTATGAAACTACATGTACATGTATATACCTTGACAAATACACCCCACTTGGGATGGTTCTTAACATGTGCATAACTCTGCCTCAATAAGTGGTGGTTGTCAACATCAGTGTCTATGAGAATCAACCCTTCTCCTCCTGTTTTCAAGCAGGCCACGATGCCCTCTAGCGCTTTAGGCTGTTCTGCCGACGGGATCCAGTGGATCACGAAGAAACTCACAACTTTATCGAATCTGTCTCGCCATTCTGGGTTGTCACCGACGGTCCTGGCATCCCAGACAACGTACCGAATATTGGATGCCGAGTTGCTGTTTTGGGCCGTAGCTATCATTGCTTCTGAAGAATCAACACCTAAAAAGAAAATAATATCGCAACACAGAAAATCAGTCTCGATATTTAACTACTAATGATTTCACAAGATTTTCAATACAGTCGAACTTTGTTAATAAGAGACCCTTTGGACTTGGCAAATTATCTTGTTCCAAGAGGAACCTTGTTTTATCAGGAATGAAAACAATGATAAACAAAGGATTGGGACCTATGATTATCATTGTTTTAAGCACTCTTGTATTATCAGAGCTCTTAACAGTTATTAACTGTGGAAGGTTCGACAGCACATGTACAATGAATGTGCCATTCAAAATGTGCACTACGTGTATTTTTAAGAACACTATTTACAATAAATTTAACAATCACGTTAATGAATCTAATATTAAATGACCTCATCATATAATGTTTATAACTATATGATAATGATTGATGAAATCGGTATCAACCATAACAATTTTTCACTTTTTAATTGATTTCAGTCCCATCTTTCCCTTCCCGAGTGCACTTCTGGGACAGAAAGCCCAATTCCAGAAAAAAATACTTGAAGACAGAATCAGGTTGACTTTATTTTCCACAAATGGCTGGAGAGGGAGTCCTGCTTGTCAAGTAGGGACCCTCACTTTTAACTACAGATTCAAATACTACATTCACATAGACATTACATTAGCATAAATATGCGAGCTAGCATAATGCAATCATTAGAAATAAAAAAAAAACAGATGAGTACGGCCTGTAACCCCGAGGGAATACTCGGTTTCCAGACAATTCCACAGTAATTAGATCATTAAACCAACTCCAACCAAAGGTCTAATGACTTTCATTGTGTACCTGTTACACTTCTGACCTTTGTTGCTATCGTTTTGGTCTCTTCTCCTGATCCGCAACCCACGTCCAGAACCTCGTCCCCAGGTTGGAAGGTAACTTTATCAATGTGTTGCATGAATACGGAATGTTGGACAATTCTACTCTCTCCATGGTAGTCGTCACTCGCTGAAAAATTCATGCTTCAATTCTGACCCTCTGAAAGAGTAAATCTGACCTATGAGGTGATGTATCGAAATCGAAGCACTCAAAGTGCTTTTAATGAGTGCTGTCCCAACTCAACCGAAACCCAAACTGACCCAACCAAACTGTGCTCAAATGAATTTCATTTTAATGTCTGTCCACACAGCCAATAAGAGACCATCTTCTTCACGCTGCATGTTGCAAAAAATCAAGAATTCCATTTAATTTCCCAAAGGTCTGAGTGAAGGTGTAAAAACCTCGTAGTCGTATTTTAATCAGCAATCAGGCAAACGAAGCCCTCAAGTCAACCGACATCAGAACATATGCCGAAAGGGCTTGTGAAATCTTAGAGCACAAGTATTTGTGATGCCTGATGGCAGAGAGGTTCCTCAGGCTGACTTACCCCAAAAACTGTGGGGTCCGATGTCCGCTCCACTCGTGGGAGTGAAGCGGAATTCAGACCCCACAGTTCTGGGGGTAAGGCTTATCACGGCATGGAGAAATAAAAGAGACAGGTCTGTGCTTTTTATTTCTCCATGGTCTACCCATGAGCTTATAACTGAAATAGCGAAATTTTCCAGTGACTGAGCTGAATGAATTAACAATAAAAAACCTGTCATTGTTTTAATTAGCCAAGTAAAAATGCTGTCATGTGTTCTACACCTCCAGCCAAATGGGGTTGTTACAGCAGACTTACCAATGAGTTCTCACAAATTTCAGACTTTCTCGTACATGTATATAGCTCTACAAATTAAACAGTTAAAAGCCAGCATAAATCTCTCATGAAGCGTGGACATCTACACTGTACGTAGGCTAGGCTTACATCATGTAGGCCTGCCACGAAATTTGGAGTGGTTTGGCTTTATAGTGTTCTGCGATGTCATGACCCTTACTGGATCGTTCCATATTTACTAGGGGTATCAAATACATGTAGAGTGCGCCCTCACGCTTGTACACCCGTGTAATAATGTGCACGACAGTTCGTGGTTTTTATTGTCACTGAATTTACATAATTAAACTACCGTCCAAATAATAGGCACACCGGGGCAAGCACCCAAAAAGTTCACCAA